TATCAGACAGAGATCCCAGATTCGTCAGTCGATTCTGGCACAGCTTACATGAGGCGATGGGCACGAAGCTTGAGTTCAGTTCAGCCTACCATCCAGAGACGGACGGTCAGTAAGAGAGGACTATTCAGACGCTTGAGGATATGCTTCGCGCTTTGGTTGTTGACAGGGGTGCTAAGTGGGAGTCACTGTTGCCGTACGCAGAGTTCGCGTATAACAACAGCTATCATTCTTCCATTCAGATGGCTCCTTACGAGGCACTTTATGGTCACAAGTGTCGTTCCCCTCTCTATTGGGACGACGCCAGAGAACGGCGAGTACTCGGTCCTAAGATGATCGAGGAGACAGCGGAGCAGGTCGAGTTGATCCGGTAGAGACTCAGGACAGCTCAGGGTCGACAGAAATCTTCCGCCGATCATCATCGACGAGACATTCAGTTCGAGGTTGGCGAGCCAGCCTTTCTCAGAGTTCGTCCGATTCGCGGAGTTGTGCGATTGGGAAAGAGAGGGAAGCTGCACCCTCGTTTCATCGGACCGTTCGAGGTTCTCAAACGAGTAGGCGAGGTCGCGTATCGTCTAGCGCTACCTCCCGAGTTATCAGGCATTCATAATGTTTTTCACGCGTCTATGTTACGCAAGTACGTGTGCGACCCCGATCATGTCATCCCTCATACGGATATTCAGGTTCAGTCAGATCTATCGTACGAGGAGCGACCGGTAGCTGTACTAGACCGTCAGGTTCGTCGGCTCCGGAAGCGAGATATTCTCCTCGTGCGTATTCAGTGGGATCGCCACGGAGCTACTTGGGAGGAAGAGTCCGACATTCGCGCTCGTTTCCCAGATTTTCAGTTTTGATGTACATATTCTTTATCCTATGTACATAGATCATGTATATCAGTTATGATTTGAATTTCCGAGGACGGAAATTTTGTAAGGAGGGAGGATTGTAATATCCCGATATTTTATCGGCATAAATTATGTTTTAATTCCGATATAATAATGTTATCGTTTATTATTTTCGGAATTAATTATGTTTAGTCGGGATTACCGAAATTTATTTTCGACGTACCGTTTACGTTCGGAATAATTTTGGTAATTAAGCATTATGTTTAATTAAATAATTAAACATAAGTAGTGATTAATTATTAAATTAATCACACACTTAAGCCATAATGTCGTGAGATATTAGGGCAAATTTTCCAATGTGTGACATAAGGCCGTATGATATATATTTTTATGTTCAAAATTTCCTAAAGTTCCTAAGTCCTAAGGAAGTCCATTTCCTCCTCATTTCATGAGCTACGTAGCCAATTATGGGGTAGCTTAGTCATCCTAATTTTCTCTCAAAAATTGTGGCACTTGGACGGCAAGGAGGAAGCCACGCCTTACCCATGTCACACCATCACCCCATCGGCTATATATATATAAGGAAGGAGTTTGATGAAATTTCCCCACTTTTTCCCCCATAGAAACGCTCAGCTATATATTACCCCTTCAGCAGCAATTAAAAGTTAACCAAATTCCCTAATTTTCCATCAAAAATTGCACGGCAAAGTTAAGCAATAAGCACGGCGCAAGCAAGACAAGAAGCACGCCCCATTTTCCCAATTCAGTCGAGCGATCCAAGAGGTAACATCCTCTCCATTTTGTATTCATGTTGATAAGGTCATAACAAGGTTTAGTGTTCGATCGATTTTCAAGAATTTCAAGTAAAGTCATGCTTAAGGTCGAATATGCTTAAGTAGGATTATAACCGGGTTATGTTCAACTCAGTCCGACATGTTCCGAGCATTTCTCGTTCATTTAGCCTTTATTCAGTTTATCATATTCAGTAAGTTCAGATTTGTCGAGTAAAGTTGGAGTTTTATTGATAAAATGGCCCGAGCCGTCGCCAGCGCTTATCGCATGGCCTCGGGCCGTACCTTGGTGTCTTCAGTAAGGATCATGTTCAGTCGTGTGTTTATGCTTTAGATTGCCTTAAAGTGATGTTCATATCAAGTTGTTCTAAAGTTGCCGGATAATAAGGTGTTTTTGGCCGAGAGACGGCGTATAGCCGTCGGCGGCGCACGGCGCGTCCGCCGCGGCCCTTTCATGTTCATGGTGCATCTGTTGCGTTTCAAGTCATTATATGTCATGTTAAGTCAGGTTATG